TTCTTCCGGGGCCATTGTTGTCTCCAGGACCTGTTCCCTGTCTGTGTCGTTCTAACACCAGCTACTCTATGTCCTGACTGTCTGTCCATCTGTCTGTCCATCTGTCTGTCCATCTGTCTGTCCATCTGTCTGTCCATCTGTCTGTCCATCTGTCTGTCCATCTGTCTGTCCATCTGTCTGTCCATCTGTCTGTCCATCTGTCTGTCCATCTGTCTGTCCATCTGTCTGTCCATCTGTCTGTCCATCTGTCTGTCCATCCGTCTGTCCATCCGTCTGTCTGTGTTTCCAGGTGAGGACTTTGCTGTCGTGCAGCAGGAGATTATTATGATGAAAGACTGTAAACACTCCAACATCGTGGCCTATTTTGGCAGTTATCTCCGGTGAGTGTGTATATATTTATATATATGTGTGTGTGTGTGTGTGAAGTTTTTATGAAGATTTCATTAATAAACAAATTGAGCTCTAGACAAATTCTGACCAATTACAACGATCCAAAGAACGCTGCAAAATAACTTTACCAACTTGTGAACTTCATAAACTGAAACTGTTATTTTAAAATAACAGAATATAAACAGTTTAGGCGCATACTGCCACCTACTGTATTAGAGTGTGTAGTGTCATGGTATGACCAGAGACTTTACAGCCTAAACTTTAGGCCTTGATGTGTGATATTTTTTTTAACCCCATATGTACATCTTCTACAGAAGCTGCTGATGATCTAGAACATTCCTCATTAACACGTTAAAGTCTCGGCTCCACTTTTTTAAAGATTTTAAATTTGGTGTATGTAACGATGAGTTCTTCTGTGTATTAATGTGAACAGGAGAGATAAGCTGTGGATCAGTATGGAGTACTGTGGAGGAGGGTCTCTGCAGGACATTTATCACGGTAAAAAACAAACAAAAAAAACCTCTGCTGTTCGACGTCCTCAGCTCCAGTTTCTTCTCAAACCTTCTGCGTTGTTTTGGTTTGTTTCTCCAGTGACGGGGCCACTGTCGGAGTCACAGATCGCCTACATGTCACGAGAAACCCTGCAGGTAACGAACGCAGCGTGAACCTTCCTCCGCAGGTCGCTGAGTTTTAGGGCGAGTGTGTGTGTGTGTAAACTGTGAACAGAAGTCTGTGATCTCATCACCGACACTGATGTATGTGTCTGTGCTGCCGCGGCCTCACGGATCGACAACATCTGGACGTTAAATCCTCAACCGTTAATACCTGTTTGTGTTTACAGGGTTTATATTATCTACACAACAAAGGCAAGATGCACAGAGACATCAAGGTGAGTGTGAGCAGAACACACACACACACACACACACACACACAGCCCCTCGTTTTAACTGATGTCTGAGGGTTTTTTTGGCGCAGCCTCTGATTTTGCATCAGTTTGCTAAAAAAAAAAAACCTTCGTTACAAGAAAATGATTCTCGATTCAAAAACCCCCTGATCTGGAACAACACGAGGTCCATGTTGCTGTGTGTTCTGACCGCTGGTGTTTTTGTCCTGGACAGGGAGCCAACATCCTCCTGACAGACAACGGCTACGTCAAACTGGGTCAGTTCTCCACGTCATTATGCCTCTTGATATTATTTCACGATCATTCTGCTGTATTTGTGCCTGACCTTCACGCCTCTTCCTCCTCCTCCTCCTCTTCCTCCTCCTCCTCCTCTTCTCAAAATAAAGAAACTCTTCACAGCTGATTTCGGTGTTTCGGCCCAGATCACAGCAACTCTGGCAAAGAGGAAGTCGTTCATCGGAACTCCTTATTGGTGAGTCGTTAATAAAATCAAATATCATCAACTGGCGGTCTGCGGGCCTAACCCGGTCCACAGAATCATCCAGTCCGGCCCACGACTGGATTCCAAAATAAAGATGAAATAATAATGTTAGACAGAATTTTTTTTATTTTATTTCATTTTATTTGAGTGTCTGGATTCCAAAGTGACCATGACCCACATGGTGGGAACCTTCAGTGTTGCAGCAGCGAAATGCCCTGAATAAGTGTGTAACATGCAGACGTGTAGTTACGTTTATCTAACACAATCTCTGCTCGTGTCATTACAGGATGGCGCCAGAGGTGGCAGCAGTGGAGAGGAAAGGAGGCTACAACCAGCTGTGTGATATCTGGGCTGTGGGCATCACGGCAATAGAGTTGGCTGAACTGCAGCCGCCCATGTTTGACCTCCACCCCATGAGGTGACATGGACTTTTCTTTTCTTTTCTTTTCTGGATCCAGTTTGATCTGAGACGTATTTGATGATAAATACGTCTCTGTATTTTCCCACAGGGCGCTCTTCTTAATGACCAAGAGTAATTTCCAGCCTCCGAAGTTGAAAGATAAACTCAAGTGGTAAAACACGTCTCTAATATTCATTTTCTACACATATTAAAGTATATTTTACTCAAACTTCTATTATTCAGACAACATTTATTAACCCAGCTCTATCTCTTTCTGTTTCTTTTATTGTTTTTTTTTTCTACCAAACAGGACAAATAACTTTCACCATTTTGTCAAACTGGCTCTGACCAAGAACCCAAAGAAGAGGCCAACGGCAGAGAAACTCCTACAGGTCACTAACAACAACATTTAATTTAAACCAGTTATTGTTTTGTTTTTTTTTTTTTATTCTTTGTGGCTTAAACTAAAGTGTTTATTTCAGAGAACTGTATCTTTCTGTTTCATGGACTTTAGAGTTTAAAAATGCATTTTAATGTTGTAAGGATTCAAGTTTTAAAGTTCCAGTTCTTTAAAATAAATGTTTGTTGTTCAGATACAAAACATAAATAAATACAAACATGCTAAGAGCGACTTCTGATCACGTCGTGTTCTGTGTTGCAGCATCCGTTTGTGTCCCAGCCTCTCAGCAGAACGCTGGCCATCGAGCTGCTGGACAAAGCCAGCAACCCTGACCACAGCACCTACAACGACCTGGACGACGACGACCCTGAGCCTGAGGTAACCTCTGTCACTTTTTTTAAATTTTTTTTAACCTTTGCTTCTCAGAGCCCTTTTTTTTAATTTTTTTTAACCTTTGCTTCTCAGAGAAAATACAAGTTCCATCAGAGAACTGATCATTTTTTCTACTGATTTTTGTTTTTCTTTCTTCACCTGAAACTATTTTCCCTCTTGTGTGAAATTAAAAACCTTTTACATTCACTCGCCTCAGCCGGAGGTCGTCCACTTGTGACACACCTGACTCTCCTTCTGCCCTCTGGTCCTCTACTGTTCTTTGTCTTTCTTGACCTTTGACCCTTTCCTCCTCCTCAGTTTAAGTACAGAGGCCATTTTCTACCCATAAGCCCCGGTGCTCGGCGTGCACCTCGCTTCGCAGCCCGTAGGAAGGTACCGGAGTGGGCTGCCGTGTCTGCAGTGATTTCATTCTAACACAAACTTTGTTTTATGTATTTTTTTAATCTACAAATAATCTGACGAATGAACTAAAAGCCAATCAGCTGCAGGTGATGTCATCGTAGACCACATGATCAAAAAATAAAATAGTTTGGTTTAGTTTAGCTTTAAATGTAGAAACTTGTCTGATGGTCACAGTCGTAGTTTGACTGTTTTTCTGCCAGCATGGTTTGAAGCTGCTGTGGTTTCAGTTTCTTCTACAGATTTTCATCATCACAGATTTATTGCATTTTTAATAATAGGAATTGATACAACTGGATGTGAAAATGTTTTTTTTTTAATAACTGCATATTGTATAAAAGCATGATGTGAACAGTGTGTGTGAAACTGAAGGTGTGTCTGCATTTTGTGCATATGACATAAATCTGGTTCATCAGCTGAGAAACCTTTGACTTTGGGTTTGATGTCGACTGTCTCGAAGAACGTTGTGTTTGTTCTGACAGAAAATCTCAGCAGTTGATACTTTACGTCTGTAAAGTGCATGAAGGCCTCGTGTTTCCACAGCTTCTTGACTGTCTTTGTGTCTCTTCCCTGCCAGTCCCCGGTCTCTGTTCCTCATCGTATCCGTTCGACCAGCAGGAGCACCAGAGAAGGAAAGACGCTGTCGGAGATAAAGTGTGAGTCTCCACACCAGGTCAACACAAACTCACAGGAAGGGTTGGTTTTATCTCACTCATCTTCACCTCCGTCTTTTCTCTGTCTCTCAGTTGGTCAGGTGGAATTTGATCCTCCAATGAGAAAGGAGACAGAGCCGCACCATGAACCGGTGAGTCACCGACCGTCACCCGTGTCTGTTCGTCTGTGTGTCTGTGCTCGTGTCTGTGTGTGAGATTAAACCGGTTTTTGGTTTTGGTTTTTTTTTTGTGGTCAATCTTCACTGTTTACCAGCATGACTGACACTCACCTGATCACAGGAAACACCTCCATGACCCTTGACCTCCATGACACGTGTCACATGAGGTTCATCAGCAGTGACTCCAATCGTGACATAGATTTTTAATTTAATTTTTTATAGATTTGACAGAGAATTCTCTGGAACACGATAACTTTAAGACAGCTGAGGTTAACCAAAGTTATGATGATGCTTTTTTTATTATTATATCAACACAGTACTTCAAGTACCACTTAAACCAAAGCTCCCCAAAGTGGGAG